CGTACTTAAGCTTTTTACGTGAACATCAAATACTGTAAGAAAGTTAACTTTAAGGGATAATGATAACATCGTTTACACTACAATTATTATTTTTATTAAATTATTACTAGTTATTAATAATACTTATAAAAGCGGATACTCCGTTTGAAACTATGTTACCTCAGTGAAATTGGTTGACACCATTGTTTTGGTTTTTTAGTTATCGTAATAAAAAAGAAGCAGAAGAACAAGAAATTCAAACTTTTTACTATGATATTTACAGACATTACCAGAACTTGTGACTCGGTCATTACATAGATATTGTTGTAAAAAGTTTGTTTGTAATTAAGCACAAAGCTACACGACAGGGTATCTGTGCACTGCCCACCACGGGTATCGAAATCCAGTTTCTAGCATTGTAAGTCCGTAGACATACCGCTATGCTACTGGGGGGGCGTTATAAAAGGAAAAACACTGTATAGTGTTATAAAGTTCTGATGACCTATTCAGGAGATATTTAAAATACCGTTTCGATTAACAATCCGAGCCATCCCTACAAAGGCAGTGCTGCAGCCTGTCTGATTATTATTATTTTTTAATTAGAGAAACGTTGAGAAAAATTTCCAACTCAATTAATTAACGAATTAATACATAAGGGTTTTTTTCTCCCTTTTTAAAATCTAGATGTAACTACATGTAAATTAAAACAGCACACTAACACACTATTTAAAATAAAAATAACAGAACAAAATCAGACATTTTCATGAGAACTAAATATAAAAAAAATTATTCAACTCGTATGCGCGTGAAAAAGAAGTTACGCTAGCCTACTTTTTAAAGACATTTTCGCTAGTTGACACTGTATTTTCTTTTGGATATATTTGTTTAACACCTGTGCTATTTGCATTTGTCACTCAGTGCTTGTGATAACTTATGTCGCCAAGATTATGGCTTATAGAAAACACTATATATACTCTGGAACGAAGGAATTCACATTTCAACAGTGTTTGTCTTCTAGAGTTGTTTATGTCAAAGTGTGTTTGATTCCATATCAATTTAAACAAACACTGAGGAAAATGTTGTATAATAATTTACCTGTATACGACTCTTTCGTAACGAAAGCTTACAGACTAAACCTAGTATTTGTATAAATTGTTCGCATCTTGTTAGTTTTTATACATGGTCGAAAGGTTCTATACTCATGAACAGGGCATATTTAAGACCACAGTGGGCTAATAGGCAACTCCATTTCTGTATGGCTCTTTCCTTCTCCGTAAGCCCTAATTTTTTTCGTTTTTTTATATAAAATTTTTACCCATAAAATCACCTTTTATCAAATCTAATATTTTGAAATACTATAGTTTAAAATATTATCTGAGAAGGCTTATTAACAAAGGAAACATAAACATTGCGGGCCTCTTGGGCATAATGGGCTCAAAGGCAGCTGCCTAATGTGGCTTTTGGTTAAAACGGGCAAACTCCGTAGTTTTACCTTAGTTACGTTTTTAAACTTTAATTTTCCAAAAAGTACCACATTATCCGAGATGGCCAGCTGGTTAATGCGCTCGACCCGCCATCTATGGGTTGCTGGTTCGAATCCCCGTCCCACCAAACATGCTTTCACAGATAAATTATGGACGGCTAGCGCAGATAGCCCTCGTGTTTCCTCGAAATTCAAACCAAAGCCATTACTAATTTTAAGCTACAGTGATAGAGTAGAGGAAAGGCTATATAGTGATTATATTTTATAAATAAAAACTGAGTAAACTTATGAAAATTTGAACCTGTACTCACTTACCAGTTCCAGGCAGTACTGAAGAACCCTCCTGTTGTATTTCTCTGATGTGCACATCTATTTGTATTTTGTTTTGTTTTGTGTAGATATATATTCAAATTCGTAGCTATGGTGATCCTGTATCTAAGCTAATAACAAATAAACTGGTTTAATATTAATTTCTAACGTAATTCTACTGCAGACTTAATAATGAATATAAGAAATTAATTGTATGTGCATTTTGTGATGAAGTTTTCAAATGGAGGAGATATGGTCACCCTAACCAACAGACCTATAAATCACCATACAAACAGAAAAATGATGGAGACCTCTAGGTAAAGGAAAGTTTTAAAAGTATGACCTCAGAATTTAATGTTGAAATAACTGGAACGTACTTGAAAGTTTCAATTTTAATATTGTATTTTTATTCAAGGTTTTTTATCACACTATGTAGGTTAACACTCAACTGAATTTCTGGTTGACCTCACATCAAAAAATGCAAAATTTCATTATTTATTGTTTTGACTATGATATGTATCTTTAAGATCAATCTAATTGAAATTCCTCTAAGTGCTGCTGTAAGTTTGTATTTTACAGTCCAAGTGTAAATCATCACTTTTCCTTTTCAGTAAGACTAATTTATCCTTCCTTAATCAAAAAACAGAAATTTGTTTTGTATGTATGTTTGTTTGCACGAAAGAAAAAGATGAGGATTCTTCATTGCATTTCATTCATACAAGTTAGATGGTTTTTTACTAAAGTTAGATGGGTTTTTTACTGAAATTAGATTTTTTTATTGAAGTTAGATTTTTTTACTGAATTTAGATGTTTTTACTGAAGTTAGATTTTTTATTGAAGTTAGATATTTTTTTTAC